TTTATACCAACAACGAGACAGTGCCGCATCTTTGCATGAAATACACGCATCACGAGGTTAGGTTAGATAAAGCGAGAGACGATAAAAGATATTTTAGCACAGTCGGAAGTACAGGGAGAATTTTCAACGAAAGCGTATCGTATCCAGTTCCCGGATGTAATCCCGGCGTTAAATTTTCTCAAGTGAAACGAGAAAAAGTACGAAGAAAAATATTTTTATCGATTGAAGTCTCGTTACACGGAGAAACCTTTCCGCATAATCTCGATCACAATGTTGTTGGACAGGAAAACTTACAGTTGGATAAACCCAAGATAAAATCCTTTATTGGGTTTTAAAACGAAATTCTCTTATAGATTATCAGATTTTCACATTTCATCCACGCGAGTATGCACGTGAACCTCGGACTCTCTGATTTCTGCTAATGCATTGAAAGAGCGATTATTGGCACGTGAACGTTGACAGGTGCGCATTTAGCCGTTGCAGCGCCACGGACGGTTGGTTCGGTACTACGCGAGTCGTTGAGTGCGAGGTTCAGTTCTTTCAACCGACCAAGAAGGGCGTGCACAAGGGGGTATCTTCAAACGGACGAATGCTATAACGGACGGTTTAGCGATTCTAACGAACGAGTATGTAACGAACGTACAGCGCGAAAACAGGACTGATTTATCCCCTTATTTCTTTCCTTTATAATTTTTTTTATAAATTTATTCCTATCTGCGATGTATGAAATTAAAATGTGATAATAAATATAATGGATTAAATGTATAATATGTGGTAAAACCATGTATAACGGGTGACGAAATCAATTCTCCTGCGTTATACGAAATCAAGAGTACAGAAATTTTATTTTACTTTAAAATAACAGAAATGCAAAATTTATATTTTATATTGGAATATACTGCATTTGTATTATTTATCCGCTTTTAATGACACAAAATATACATTTTATTTTATTTTAAAATAACAGAAATGCAAAATTTATATGTTATATTGGAATATTTTGCATTTGTATTATTTATATGTTTGTGTACTATTATATGTTATTTATATTATTAATATGTTAATATAATATTATATTATTATAATATTATATTAGAATAATTTATATTATTTATATTTTTGTTTTATGTACAATATATATTTCTAATTTTTACATTATATTACGTATGATTATTTGGAATATATTATGTATTATTTATGCATATTTTGTATTAACCTCTTGCACTGCGATTTAATTATGAAAAAATATGTATTGAAGTAGTATCCTATCCTATCCTATGAAAGATAGGATAATTTTATGAATCAAATTAGATAAAATGATAAATTTCTGAAAATCGGTGATTGCTCAAAGGTGTTTGATAGATTTGTGAGAAAAATGGAAGAGAAGAAAATTATGCTGTCTTTTATATGAGATACTATGATCTGAATAGCCGTTAACTTTGTCACGATTGATTATGATAAAACTGATAAAACCATGAATGTTTTAAAACTGATATGTATCTATAATGGTTTTCATATTGTATGTAAGCTGTTATCGAGATGAATTCAGTGACCTAGAGGAAATAGAGTTCAAGGTTACTAGAGTGCGAAATTAAAATAAAATATACTGTAAGTACTTTGTGAAATATTTAGCAAACTTAGTTAATACTTTAATAACGTTATAACACTATATTTAACGAATATTCCAAATTTTTCTTGTTTTGAAAATATATCTTGTATATCTCCAAAAATATCAAGTTACTATTTGGCAAAAATATATGTATAAACTTTCTGTAACAGAATTATTTTATCTTTATTTATATTAT